GACATTTTTTCTTTCTTCAGGCGCCAATGTCTCTGTTTAATTTATAAACATTTCTCTGGAATGTATCATTTTCATGAAGAAATACTGCTTCTGGTGGTAATGTTACAAGGAATCTTTTGAAGCAGCACAAAGATACTAGGTTGCGTTCTGGAATCAGTATTTGGACATTTTCTGAGTCGGGTTACAACAACATCTTCTTAAGCAGAGAAATTTGGGTTGAGGAATCTGGCCCGTCTGGCTCCGGTTTTGTAGCCTTAAGTCATCCTGGGAACTGAGACCCAGTGAGATGCAGCCGCTCCCGGGTGGGTGAGACCGAGAGCCGTGCCTCGGAGAAAAGGGCTGGCGCAGCTGGGCGCGCGGTGATGCCTGCCCCCCCCCCCGCCCGACAGATTCAGGCCGTGCTGCTGGAGGAGATGCTGTCGGAAGTGAGCCGGGAGAAGACGGAGAGCCTGCGCAGGTTCCAGGCCGAGGTGCGGCGCCGCGTGGCCCAGCAGGCCCAGGCGCGGAAAAGGCGCCAGCTGCAGAAGTCCTACGAAGTGGTAAGACCACCCACATACAGTATCGATTAATGAATAGGTAACATCCTCCTATTAGCAGTTAATTAGCTGTCATTTCTATGTAACCTGCGAAACGCTGCAGGCTCTGTTGTTCACACACCTTTCCAACAAACACCGATTCCACAGGCACTGGGCAGTGTTCCTTCAGCTGTTCTCTGATACTTGTATTTCTTGGCTGAAACATGGATCAAAACGCACAAATACACAGGGAATTAATGGAATACCCAAAAGTATGGAATACCATTACCCAAAAATATGTTTTTACCATGTCTTATGTAGTGCCTTTGCTCTGGTTTATTTAAACCTCAAACCTCTGCAGGAGAATTAAGGCCTGAGGCCTGGAAGCAGGCTGGCAGGGATGTGTTTCAGACTCTCTGTCCTTGCCTCGTAGGCGGAGCATGAAGGAAGAGTTGTCCAGCAGTCATGTGATGCTGCCCAGCGCCTGACCCCCCGCAAGAACATGTGTACCTCCGACCACCAGGGGGAGCTGGCCATCTGCGGCCCTGGTTCCCGCTGGGTGAGCGCCCAGGGCCTGGGGGCTGGCGACACAGACAGTGGTGCCTTCCAGCAACAAGAACACCAGGTGAGAGCAGAGAGGGAATATGTCAGGGTTTGGACTCCTGGGGCAAATTCTGATCCTGGGAAGTATCAATAATGAACCTGAAGGGTACCTCTGTACCACCACATGTGGCTTGCAGCATTTATGTTGAATGCATTGTAACTCGGCAAATGGTACTCATAAATTTGTCTGAGTGAGATGCACAATGATAAAATCAGGACAGAATACGCGGTGTAATGAAGTGATTCATCTGTTTAAGAATCGCAGCGAATGCTGTGCTGCAAAAATCTCTTGTGAAGATGTGATCTGAAGGAAATTTGATGTGTTTTTGTGTCTCTCTCAGCTCGGCAAAGTGCTGAAGCAGGTCAGGCGCAGACTGGCTTCCTGTCAGACCATCTCTGCCGGGAAGCTAACATCAGAACTCCCAGGAGGCATCTGGAGGGTTTCGCCAACCAGGGATGTAAGTCTACACCCTGAAACCTTTCTGTCATGCTGGGTGCCAACTCTTTGTTTTGAATTAAGGGCACAGAATTAGTTCTGCATTCTCTTTCATCGTCTGGTATTATGCAACTAAACATAGAGCAAGAATCACCATTGCAGAAACATCAGCTCAGTGCAGTGCAGCTTTTTTATATGCTTTCCCCCTAAAGATTTTCCTGAGTAAGCATATTAGCAAACATCTGCAAAGAGTTTTTGATAAAGTGCTGGCCAATTGCCCTATCAGAGCACTCTCATGTGATCGTCTCATTTCTTAATCTTTGCTCTTGAGCCGAAGTTTTCATTTCCTTGTAACTTTCTCTCCCCTGACCTGGATTAGAGAAGTGTTCTTCTGTTGTGGTGTTTCTTTTAATCTAACAGTAATCTAACAGCTCACCTTCAGTCCTTCTTAGATTTTGCTGTGTGTGCAAAAAAACACAGATCTCTTTTGCAGTGGTCTGTTGAGGTCTTTTCATATTAATTAATATAACTGACCAGCTGATTAGATTGTTTCTTTAGTTTAATCTTACTTTCAAATGAGATGTAAAGACCTTTTCTAAGAATTAAATACAGCGACCATGATTTTAATAATGCTGCTCCTGGTTAACCCACTTGACCTATGCTTCTACTGTCGCAATACTCTTTTTGTTGTTTTTTTTTAGTTGAAATTCAGCCAAAGTGCAGCTCCAAGGAGATTTTAAGTTTTCAGTCTGGTAAATTGAGTGTAGCTGTAGAAAATGCCTTGCAAGAAGCTTATACCTGCTGGCATCTTTCTCGCACTGTCTAGAAGCCAGTATCCTGTCTGCTGCCCCCTGCTGGAGAAGGGGAGGAGGAGCCAGAGGAGGAGGTCCCACTGAGTGGCCAGCATGATCTCCCTTTGGGCCTAGAGGAGGCAGGGCCCCCTGAGGGCCACAGCGGCAAGACGGTCACCTTCCAGAGCCAGCAGGTGAGTGGACAGGGCTGCTGTCTGGGTCCCCTGAGGCTCTGTGCCAGCAGACACACATGCCTTTCAGTTCACACAATGTTCCTAATTATTTTTTGGGTTTAATGCGCCTCGGCAGTTTATATAGTTTGCTATTAGAACACACTTGATAAACTTGGGCACGGCTACCAACAGCAACGTGACAGGGTGTTCGAGTCCATATGCACTGCGACTTACAAACTGCAATTCTAAAAACCTTTCAGAAATAAGTGTGAGATTTGTTTTTATCTGCTCAATCCTCGGGTTGGAAGGGCTCCCAGAACACAGCACCACCAGCAGAGGCTAAAATATTTGCCTCTTCCCTTTGTGCGGTAAATAAGTCACTTTCAAATGCATGCTGTAGGTGACCCGGCTTTAATAAAAAGGGAAAGTTTCAAATTTAAATGCATGGGTTTCAAAGCTCTCAGAGAAGCTGGAAAACTAACACTGGTCTCTAAACAGAATTCAGTTTTTAAACATTTAGACTCGCCACCTTTCTCTCTTGTGCAGTGCATGGTGTTGCTAGTTGCCAGTCCTGTTTGTGACCCCTCGAGTTTGCTCTCCTCTGTCTCTTAGCTATGTGAGCGGATGTTGAGAGAGCCCTATCCCACTGGTCCCAGCCCGGGATTCAGCACAGACTACAGAGCGACCCAGGTCCTCTGGCCCAGAGAGGATCAGGAGGAGCTCAAGAGACAGGTAAATACAGGCAGGCTCCACTCCTTACTCTGGACTGACAGAGTGGGTTTGAATTGGACACTGCTGTTGTACTCTCTCTAACCTGACTACTCCAGCTCCCCATCACTCACAAAAAGGGGCTCAGTCTGAGTCTGAAAGGTGAGTATTCCCGACTGTGGCTATGCGGACAGCAGTGCTGGGATAACCCTGCATTGGAACACAGGGTCCCATCCAAGGGACGTATCGTGCTCTCAGTCCTCTTAACACCAGAGGACAAGCTCTATATATTCCTGTCCAGTCATTCAGCCTAGGAAAGTCATATAAACTAGATCTCAATTGAAGGGTTTTGACATTTGCCTTAATATGTGTGCTGCTGAATGCATATAAAAAAATAACGAGAGATCATCTATTTCGGTTCCTTCTCCTATGTGCATGAGTAACGAAAGGCACAGATGTTTTTTTAATAATTGAGTTGTTTCAGTTCCTCCTCTGAGTATCAGTAAAGTTATGTGTGTGCTGTAAAGCTAAAGAAATGACAATTCTTTTTCCATTATGCCTGCAGGTCACAAGTAAATACTAAAGCAAGGAAATACTAAATAATAAAGCACCTACAGAATTTAGTATGCTCTGGCTTTAATACTGTAGTCTCTTTGCATCTTTTTTTACATGGATGTTCTGTAAAATGTTTATATTTACTTAATCTTTACTTAAACACACCTACTTCAGAGGGGCAAACAAAGCCCTGGTGTCAATGAAAGCGTTGCATGTCCTGTTTGTCACAGTGTCATGTATGATGACAGCTGTATTTCTTTGCGGCCAGGCCATGTGTGCCATGCATACTGCTTGGGATATAAAAAGGCAAAAGCTGAAGGAAAAGTTTTGAAAACAAAGCCCCGATCGTCCCTCAGCAGCAGATCTCTGGTTCTTCCAGCGTCAGTCTCAGTTCCTGATGTACCGCCGCCTCTTCATGGACATGGAGAGGGAGCAGGTGAAGGAGCAGAGGCGCCACAGGGAGCACCTGCAGAGAATTGCCAGGTGGGGTCATCCACAGTTGTTTCAACGTTTCCCCCTTCAACAGCAGTGTCGTACTTGCACAACAATCTGTCCTACATCTTCCACTGAATTGGACAGGTTCGGTATTACAGAGGCTCAGACATGGACAGGTCTAAGGAGCAAGGAAAAACATTAGCCAGTCATCCTGCAACTCACAACCCACTGAAGCTCAGCAGGTGTAAGGCTGGTCAGTACCTGGATGAGGGACTCCTGGGAAAGCTAAGGCTGCTGCTGGAATTGGTGTTAGTGAGGCCAGTAGGGAGTGCTCGCTGTGTGGTCTGTGTGGATCCTAATGCCCCAGTTTAGTGATGGAGACACTATACTGTAAAAAAAAACGCCGAACTTTACATGAGATGTTAAACTGAGGTCCTAACTCTCCATGTTTATTAAAAATCCCAGGTCATTTCTTGAGAGTAGGGGTGTTATCCTGGTCTTCTGCCCAAATTTCCTCCTCGCCCTTACCAATCATGGCCTCCTAATAATCCCCATCAATGAATTGGCTTCATCATTATGTTCTCCTCCCTACTGATAGCAGCACTTTGGCTGCCTTCGTATCCTCCAGGTGGAGGCTAGTCATTGGTGGTGGTGGAGGGGAGTCCCCATTACCTGTGAAGTGCTTTAAGTGGAGTGTCCAGAGAAGCACTATAAAATTGTAAGGAATTATTATTAAACACATCCCAGAGACTCGTGTCCACTCCCTCCCCTGCATTTTATCAGCTTCTGCAATGAGCCCTGTTTATCTTTTGCTCTCTTCACCCTTTCTCTTAGAGGGAAGGAGTGACGATCAGTGTGATAAATTATGCTGTCTTTTTACATAGATGAATGCTAGAGCTGCATGCAATATATACTGTATATATGGTGGAACTGAAAAGAAAACCTTTAAAGAGATATAGTTTATTAAATCTTAAACTGTACAGTGACACGAGTCACAAGTAAAACTGAGAAATATATACTAAATGCAGACAGTTAAAGTAAGTCATATTAATGGTTGCTGCATATTAATAGTCCATTTGAAAATGGTTTTGATTGTGATATATACCGCACTAAAAATAGGGGTTTGATTCTTATTTTTTGTGTAAGTTGCTTTGTCTCTCACCATCTAGCTACATGGGCAAATCATCACCCTGGCCCCTCGATCTGAAGTGTGAACTTCAAGTCAAGACTTTGTGTTGCTTCAGTTATAATTAACAAATGTCTGTGAAAAGTATCTCAGCTTGAGCCTCTTCTCTGCTCCTGCAGGATCAAGGCAGACAAGGAGCGACAGAGGAGGGAGGAGGAGAGGCGAATGGAGAGACTGACAGAGCCGGAAGGAGAGGGGAGAGACCCCACAGAGAGGGAGTGCGAGGTCCTGGAGCGACTCAGGCTGGAGGAAGAGGAGGCCCATGAGGAGAAGGAGAGGAGGGAGAAAGCGCAGAAAGACAGGGAGGTCACCAGGTACCCCTTCACACAGTCACAGGAGATGAGCAGTCACAGGAGATGCCATAGTCCTGTTGTTGGGCATGGGGAGGATCAGTACTACCTCCTGGTCAGTCCCTGCCTGCAGAAAACTCTGATTATTACTCACCCCGGTGTCCTGGCCAAACCTCCCCCTGGCCTTTCCCAATCATAGCCTCCTAATGATCCCCATCTCTGAACTGGCTTCGTCATTCTGATCTCCTCCCCACTGAGAGCTTGTGTGTGGGGAGAGTTCTGGTGCATCATCCAGGTGGGGCTGCACACTGGTGGTGGTGGAGGGGATCCCCATTACCTGTAAAGCACTTTGAGTGGAGTGTCCAGAAAAGCGCTATATAAGTGTAAGGAATTTTTTTTATTATTATTCATCTAGAGAATTTATTTAAAATTAGTTACAGCAACCTTTAATACTGTTCTTAAGAGGACAGTATCAAGTGTGCTATAAAATAAGTTGAGTATGCACTTATTTAACCTTTTAATACCTGAGAAGCTTACAACACTGAAATCAGTTATGGAAAATTGATGTGTCATCAACTTAACGCATAAAACTGTCTTTATCAAATGTTTTATTAGGGGAAAAATGCAAAGGGATATTTGCAGAGCACAAGATTATAGGGAAGCAAATCCCATTTTTATAGGAGACTATTAATGCTTTATTATTAGGCTTTAATCTGTGTCTCTATTGCCTTAACGTACTACTAGTGGTTAGGAAATCCACAGCTTCAGATGATTTCCCCATTATAACCTCATGAACAACTCAACGTCTGTCTCAAGAAAACAGCTTTATCTTTGCTTTCATTGAGCTCCAGAGGCCTTTAGTATTTGATTTGTGCTGGCAGCTGATAAGTTAAATCAAGTCATGAAGTTATCAGTTAACATTGATTTTACCTCAGCAGTCCTCCAAAACTTTAACTTTACATACTTGAAGGAGGTACAATGAGTTCTTTATCCTTTTAATTAAAAAAGCACTCAAGTGCTCGGTTTTGGAGGTATGCAGTAGCCTTGCTTGAGCAGTTTACTTGAGGTCAACTGGGAGTCCTTCAGGCTGATACCACAAAGGCTGAGCGTGGTTTCTAGGGATTCTCAGTTAAAACCACAAATGGTATGCTTTAGCCATCTGAAAGTGAATGGCACTGTGCTTGATAATGGCACTGTGCAATGATAATGCATTACCCCCTGCATCTGAAGCAAAGCTGTGCACTAATTTATTAATGCTGACATGGTTAGTTGAGCTACATGTCAACTGCACCTCTTCTTTGATTATTGAGCACTCGCTCTTTCTAACAAGTGGCTATTAAAGATGTTGTAATAAATGAACTAATTCAAAAGGTAACAAAATGACATCTGCTGTTTAGTCTTGGGTGATGGGTCATCTTAGACTGTTAAATCAAAACTAAATATTGGGAAGCTGTTCCAGATTGGTGGAGGTTATAAAGGAATTGTCATTGGCATGTTTTATAATAAATCCAGAAAGTAAAATTGGTTTAGTAAGAGTCCACTTCTGCTCTGGCACAGGTTCATGGAGGCTCTGCGGGCTCAGATGAGTGAGAAGATGAAGCTCGAGAAGGCTGAGCTGCCCCCTCTCTGCTGTTGTGGAGACGGCTTCTGGGATACACACCCCGACACCTGTGCCAACAACTGTGTCTTCTACAGGAACCCCAGAGGTACAGTCAGGGCCAAGGACAGTCCTGCCCGTTGTCATTTGGAGCAGGGAGGGACGAACCCCACCCGCCAGCTGGGCTGAAATCCGAAAACAGGAGGACCCCCTCCCCTCTCTCTATTTCTCAAGGTCTTTCTCATGCTCGTTTGAGCATGGGGAACAAATCAACCCCATGTGAGCTGTCTTGAGGTGTTTAAAAATCCTTGCCTTTCCTGGAATGTGGATTCTGTAGTTCTCGCTGGAGCTTCACAAAGCCTGCCGTAGTCAGAGGAAATACCTGAGGGTCTCTGTCAGGTGTTTGTGGGATCTATGATGATCGTCAAATCATTGCTAGCATGACATTTAGTACAGAAGTCATTTAAACGTAAAACCTGTAAGGGAGAATAAGGCAATAACAGATTTTTGGGATTGTATTTTTAATAATAATAATAATTGCTTACAATTATATAGTGCTTTTCTGGACACTCCACTCAAAGCTCTTTACAGGTAATGGGGATCCCCTCCACCACCACCAGTGTGCAGCCCCACCTGGATGATGCGACGGCAGCCATAGTGCGCCAGAACGCTCCCCACACATCAGCTATCAGTGGGGAGGAGAGCAGAGTAATGAAGCCAGTTCATAGATGGGGATTATTAGGAGGCCATAATTGGTAAGGGCCAATGGGAAATTTGACCAGGAGGCCGGTGTTACACCCCTACTCTTTTTAAGAAATGCCCTGGGATTTTTAATGACCACAGAGAGTCAGGACCTTGGTTTTACGTCTCATCTGAAGGACGGCGCCTGTTTTCAGTATAGTATACCTATCTTATACTGGGGCATTAGGACCCACGTGGACCACAGGGTGAGCACCCCCTGCTATCTCCACTAACACCTCTTCCAGCAGCAACCTTAGTTTTTCCCAGGAGTCTCCCATCCAGGTACTGACCCGGCTCACACCTGCTTCAGTGGGTTGCTACCATTAACGCCTCTTCCAATTTAAATTGTCAGGTTCCCGTCACACAGCTTGTATCGTATTGCACAGCTGAGCTACTGAAACTGCAGCCCTTCCAGTCCACTCTGCGTATACTGCACTACTTTGATACAACCGGCTCCTCAGTGGCTCTTCCTAAATTTCGATTGAGCTACAAGGTCTGAGCTGGCTGTAGCCACATTTAATCACGGAGTAGATTGGATGGGCTGCAATTTGAGTATCCCCGTTGTGCTGCGCTGCTGTTTTAATTAAGCGGATCTGTTTCCTCCTTACATTTGGTCACTGTGACAACATACTGTAATTCCGTAAAACACATGAATGCTGTAAATTAGCCCCACTTGGAAATGGATTTCAGGATTCACAGAACACAAAAACATCGATCTGAATTCAGGCACTATTACACACAGAATCATACAAGTGCACCTCTCCAAACTCATTTTGCCTTAAGAAACCCATTTAAATCTTAAGGGCATCTCCAGGCTTACATGTGTGGTAAGTGAAAGCCTACATTTGCATGGAACCCATCAGAAGCAATGGATTCCCTCTCTCATGAGTAGGTCCCAAAAACAGACCCGTGTCGTCAATCCCCCCCCACAGCAGCTAACCTGCACCTCTCTCCCCCCCCCTCCCTTCCAGCTTATGCCCGCGCGCTGCAGTCGGTGCTGTCCTGCTGTGATCTGTGGGAGGCGAACCCAGGCCAGCGAGCGTCTGCAAGGAGGATCGCTTCCGCGCAAACACAGCCCCCCAGGAAGTAGGCTCTGGAGCAGGGACGGGGCTGCAGCCCGTCTCGGTAAAAACCGGCCTGTGGCAAGCACGCAGGACACAGCACTTCTGCTCCCTTCTTCTTTTTTTTTTTTGGAAATCTGAACCGTTCTTTAACGATTTTGAGGTTCCTGCTCCCAACACGTGTTGGGACATGCGACACGTGTACAACACGCGTACGTGAAAGCACGTACGTTTTCAGGGCAGTGAATGGGTCCGACGGCAGAGCATTGTCCTTGTGACCCCCTGTTGGCCCCAACTCTCCTGGGGAAAGGTGGTACGTCGTGGTCAGCTCCGTCATTGAGAAGGGACAAAGACTGTCGGGCGCATATTAATGAAGCAGTTCCTCTTAGTTTAGTTGTTTTTGCATCCAGTTTTACTTTTTCCTTGTTCCTGTTTTCTAGGATGATTAATAGGAGACTCGTGTATCTCAAGAGGACGTTTTTTGATGCTACTAGCTGGGGAAAGGAATGACGCCAATTAGCTAGACTGATCGTGGAGCACCCACACCATGTGAAGAAGTACCTACAGAGAGACAGTTGTTTAGTCTCTTAGTTCCGGTGGCCAGTTGTGTAGAAAACTCCTCAAGTTTCCCCTTAACTGCTTTTGGAGTAAATTTCACAGAGCATCTGAACACTAATGGTCAATGTGCTTGTTAAGGAAAAGGTTCTCCATGCTTAATATGTAATATAATCACTTTCATACCAAAATGTAAAAGTAAGGGAAAAGCCCACATTATGTCCCATTGTTTCTGAGGGCTGTAACGTAGTAGGAGATCAGGCCATTTCCTCAGTGTGCTGCGCTGTGGGATAGAAGATGTTAGTGTTGGTGCCTGTGCCTCTGGTATGCTGATGAAAGCAACAGCATATCTGGCTAACATGTCACTTCAGACAGCCTCAAACGGTTCACATGCAATAACTGGTAGATAAAAAATTAAATCAACAAAAGGAAATGTGAATCAGGCCACAAATAGCAGCAAAAAACTACCTGCATTTTATGGGTTGGTTGAGATGTCCATAACTGTGTGAACTGACCATCTGTTAGGACAATGCTCTAGTTTTGTAGTAGAGTGGTATATAATTACCTGTTTATTTATGTGTTTCATGTAACAGCCGCAGAACCTGAAAACATTCATTAAGGAATCCTGTTAAGGAAACTAAGATGCAGATAAATTCTGTGTTATCACTGAACCTTTTACAACACCTTTGTTTGGTGACCAAAGTCTGCTGTTGATTGCTAAACTAAACAGACTGCAACTAAAAGTGCAAACTACTGTAAACCTGATATGTGTTGTGAATGTGGTGGATTAGAAATTCTGAATTCTGACTATGGGCGCGTGACATGTAGCAGAAATGAATTTAATACTTCGTGTTTCTTTCATGCTGGTCGTTTTGTGTTTGGTCCAGTGAAATGGACTGGTGAGCACAAGGATACCCAATACAGAATACAATCTCAAAAACAATTCACATGTATCAACACCTCGTGTTACGAGAGTGAAACATTGCATCTGCACATTTGCAGCTATATGAAGCTATGAGACTCATTTTAATGAAGAAATTCCCATCATTAATGAATGTTTAAAATCGGGGTGGTATTCTTTGCTTGTTGTGTTTTGTGAAATAGTTGCCAAAGCTTTTGTGTTGTTGGTTTTGTTTAAATCTTCAAAAATTCAATATCAATTAAAAAGAAGATCATTTTTATAGTGGTTCTTATAGTGTTTTTTGTGAAAACAGATAATGCCATTCTGCCCTCTTTTAGCAATGATAATATTTTGTCATTTTTTTTCTGTTCTCTTAGCTGTTAGCCTTGTAGACTCATGTTGGCTCCTTTTGCTTAATTTTTATTTTTCTTTTATTGCAGAAATCTGACAGAGCAATATCTCAAATTTACCCTGTGCCTCATACTTTTCCCATATTCTGAAAAATATTATTATAAATGTGGGGGTTACGAAACTGGTGAAATTCAGGATTTGACCAAGCGGTTTAGTCAGTCAGTGAAACAATTATTCATAACCCCCAACTTGTACCTGATTTCTAACCATATACCTGAGCGGCTTTTTTAACTAGAGGCACGTGAATTCTTTATTCTCTGGCACAGCTTTGTTGAGAGGAGTAATAATAAAAGTTACATTATATACAGTATTTACAGACAAGGTGTTTCAGAGGCCTATCATTCTGGTCACCCAGAAAGCCCCAGACTGCTACTAAGCACTAAATTCTTAATATGCCTACAGAGGCCACATAAGAGATGAGCTGCCTTCTAACTGAATACAATGCAACCTACAGTGAGATCTCTTTATGCACCCTGGATGCCACAAAATAAATGGGAGCTTATATCCCTATCCATAAAATGCACCTTAATCAGGAAAGACGTTTCTATCTGAGGTATCTTTTACACAGGAAACCCAAGTTCCCTAAAAACACAGAATAGCACCCTTTAATAAGGTTCAAATACTTTGCTCCAGTCAGGTTTGGTTTTGGATGATCAAGAAGTAGGGGCTCTCGCCTGGCGCAAGCTTCAAGTCCCAACTCCTCTGGATTCCTGTTCCTTTTTCCTGCTCTCCATGTTTCTTCTTTTTTCTTTCCCTCTTTCTCTCTCCTACTACTCGCTTAATGTGAACTTTTACTGAGTCTTTCTGCCCTGCTCATTTGCAGTCTTTAATCCACAACTTCACTAGGCATTCGAAGATCAACTTTACAATTGTTTCTGCTCAAGGGACCCCCAGACCTCAGCACACATCTTCTCTGCTTTGAAGCTAGAAGTGTTTACTCTCCCAGTGTCACAAACTTTATCTGAAAATCTAAGTCACACTTCTCAGTCAACCAAAGCAATATTTACAAAACAGCTGATGTATTTTACATAGAACTAACACAGTTCAAGATTTGGAACTACTCCCATTACTGCAGACACCCTGGGGCTGTGAGACAGGTCAGATTTTACAGAAGGTAAATCATCTAAAATGCAAATTGAGAACAGGCATATACAGTAAAGTACATCTACTTTGTTTCGGCAAACCTAGGGATATTTAAGGTAAAGCTAAAAAAGTGTTTGAAAATTAAAACATGCATTATTCTGTCTTTTTATTCTATCGGCAAGATATAACTTAGATCTTAATAACTAAGCTACCACAACCTTTGTCATGTAGGGATGCAAGAACAGATGTTGAAAACCAGATGGGTATAGCTGCAGTTATTATTTAGAACCGCTGCTTTACTGGAAAGTTAAGATTCCAAGCTTGCTGATTCTGAAACAACCAGTTCCAGCACACCATTCAGATGTGTCTTATTTCATGCGGAATGGTTTTGCTCTTTCTTCTTAATGAGAGAAGGAAAGCTACACCCAGATTGTACGTCTCAACACAGAGCTACATCTCCTGCTGAGCTCTCCAGCATCAGATGACCCAGGGCAGTGGGCGACACCTGATCGTGCACCAGCTGTCTGTGTCCCGCTTACTGGCCTTGTCTGGTGGAAAATATGAAGCAGTTCTTATCTGAGCAGTTTTAGTTCCCTAAGTCAAAATGGGAAGTCATGTCACGTTCTCCTCTCCTTACCTCTAATTCTATAATTATGTGGTTCTTACAGGAACTGCAATTGGTGTGTGTTTCTCAGAGCCTCTACATCCAGGTGACTCAGACTGGGGTGAGAGGGACTCAGAATACTTCAGTATTGTTCACGGTTGTCCACAAATCTGATGGATTACCATAAATAGCAGTCTGGTCCTTGCAGAGGTTGTGGGATTATGCATGTCCTGTTGCAGGAGCTGCAGAAAACCAGCGCTTAAGGGTCAGGTTTAGCTTTTTGCTGTGTTTTAGCATCCTGTGCATTTACCTGCTCGTTCGACAAAGAAACAGTTTTTTTAACTGTCTTTAATAAAACAGGACATTTCACAGCCCAGATACTGTACGTTCACAGCATAATAAAGAGAGCAATAGAATAACAGGCAGCTCTGTTCAAGATGCCGTTTAAGAGAGTAAAACTACCAAAACCTGCATACAAATAGGAGGCCATGACATTTATATTTTATCGAAGCTGGGCATCATAAGAAATAATGCTTGATTGTGCATCTGTATATAGAGTGCGCCATGTCACGGTTTCCCCTAGACCAACTCGTTAAGTGCATTTCTGTATGTTTCAATAACCTCCTGCAAATGTGATGGATTTCAGACTTCTGCTTCTCTAGGCTCTCTATTTGGCATTTGGATTTTTTTCCTAAGTCTGCGTAGCAAAGACAATGACGTTTTTAACTGCGTTGGCAAAGCAGTTTCCTCCTGTGAATTAAAGTACTTGAGCCTATCGGGTCTGAAATTCAATCGAATCCCTTTCTGCTGACAACACGGGCGACGTCTTTTATTTCATCCCTCGCGGAGCCCTGTCTTCGTCATGGACCTACCAGGCTGCGATCTCAACTCGCTGCAGGGGCCGAGGGGGTTAACCGGGCCTGGGGGTGACGTCACCGTCACATGCTAGTCTGCTCACCCAGCCCGTAGCCTGCGGTAGCCCGGAGCCGGGGCTTTGTGGAAAAAATACGCGGAGTCGGTGAACGTTTTTAGCGAAGAATAACAATCATGTGATGGCGAAAAGGAAAATATAGCGGTAGAATTAAGCTTGCCGACCCCCTCAGGTGACTTTCCAGACCACGGTCATGGGACGAGATAAATTCATCATGGAAATTTGAGGCATTTTCTCCATAAGTCTTTTTTTTTTGGTGCTGGATAAAGGGAAGAGGACCAAGGACCTCCTCTTTTCTTTTTAAATGGCTATGCCGTTCTTCGTTTATTTATTGTAGCTGTGGATCGCCGCACAAATGGTGCAGTTGTGATCTGAGGTGTGCTTTGACACAAACAGCAGGGATTTTAAAACCGCCAAGGGAAAAGCCGGTGTTGAAACTTAAACGCTTTTGTTTACATCAACAACACTAAGTCGACACAGTTTGCCGTTACCAGTTTCTCCTTCCCGTGCAATTTTATTTACGCACAATATCAACTTAAAAGTTTTGTATCAAAACTAAATTACCTGTAAATTTCTGTGTTATTCCCTTTTCCTGGGCGAGCTTGTGCCTCATTGGTAACAATTTGCTTTTGGACTGTAAGGATACTGTGTTTCTACTGACGCGCTTAAATGTCACCGGGATGGTATTTTTTTCATTCTGAAGAAAACTGACAAAGCACATCGAGTGACAATGAGGTCTTCGCTGGCGCCTGGGATCAGGCTCATCACGTCTTTTTCAAGAGAGAGCTGGTAAGAGATCCTTTATATTTGAAGGAGGAAAGGTAATTATTGTCAGATTATCTTAACTGGGGCTGCAAGGGGTTTATTGCAACGCCATAGAGCTAACAAGTACATTTTTTTTTACTGATAATTCGAAGATCTGCAGAACAAAACGTCATCCGTGCAGGTTTGATAAGGATTGGCTAAATCAATACCGCAAATCACTACTAACCGAGAGATTTCGTAAACATACACCCCCTGCTCCAAAACCAGCGTTGCAACACTGTTCCGCGCCCGAGAGATTGCAGTCGGGCTTTGGGTTGGTGCTGGAAATTGGATTACAATTAAATGCTTTTAAAATAAGTGAAGTAAACGCTGTTTTCATAGTTTTTTTTATTGTAATTGTTTTACAAGTTATCAGCGTCAGACGAGGATGAATAAATGATACGAGATCTTTTGGATGTGAAAATGAAGTTCAAGCTATTACTAATCTACTGTCGTAATACTTTACTCTGTTCAGTGCACGTCATGAATCACGAAGTCCCATCTCAGGGCATTTCTTCACAGTTACAGACAAGAGCAGACCTGAGAACCTGCCGACGTCTGTAGATAAGATCTGTAAATCTTTGTGCGCCTCCAAGAAGACTTGACACTGTAACCCAGCGTAATTTCGAATATCTTTCCCGTAGAAGTATATAATACTTTAAGTTGAATATAGGCTGTGTTTAAGGTTCCCCATAGCACGGTGTAATACAAAGAACGCATCTGTTCGTCTCTCCTTGCTTACTCTGCTCAGGCAGACTGGCACCTTGTTTCCAGAATTGAGCTGTGAAGAAAGCAGTGTGGGTCCCTCTCTTGGGACTGTAGCCGCAGAGTAAAGCCCAGCTCTGAGTGAGGAGAGGGCGGGAGGGTAGGATAGTACCAGCTTAAAGGGTGTTAGAACAGGTCTGGTTTATAAGCCAGGGCCTCCTGGTCTTGCAGGGGTGTCTTTGTAAGAGTTTCTGTCGGGGTGGAGTGGTTTGCCTCTCTCAGGAAGTCAAAAACAGGTCAACAACGCAGAAGAGCTTGGGTCTGTTCTGTTCGTCACCTGCCTTCCTGTTATCTGAGGGGAAACCCACAGTGTGTGGACTGGCTCTTGAGAGGGAGAGCTACTGAAGGCCACTCAAATACAGACTCCATGAGCACAGTGTCTCTACTTGAGGCTTTTTTTGTTTTTCAGATTGATTTTTGTTTTAACCAAGCAGCAAAAAATAAATCTTTCTGAGGCCAGCTCGGTACTTAAGACAGCCACCTTATCAGTTTCCTCCCCACTAAACTTGCGACATACAGTACAAGGAGTATTCATTGCACTTAAAATATGAATGAATAGTTTTGTTTCAGTGCTATGATAAAAAGCAAGCATGTATACAAGTTTATATCAACTTTAACCCCAGGACTGGGTTTTCAGCTTCATTGCATTTCCTGTAGCAGAAACCCTGCAGCGAAGGTGCAGATACGGCCAACTGCAGCGTGCTATCTGGTATTGGGTGACCTCACTCCTGTTGTGCGTGCAGCCCAGTTTGGTTTGGGGGTGGCATGTGACTTCATCCAGGAGAGAAAAGACTTCAGTCTTTGCAAATGCTTTATATGTCGAGTAATATTTAAACTAAAGGCAAATCAAGTTTGGGATGCAAAAACTCAGCTGCTCTCTGTTGTCAGTCTGCCAGCATGTTGTTTTAACAAGTTGTCTTTCAACATTTTAAATGTACTGAAAGTCCCTTAATAACATAAGCAGTCCTGCTTTTAGGCAGGCATTCTTGTTTATAGCCCTAAGCCCAACGTTAGACTAGTACAATTGAAGAGCTGCTCTGTGAAATTTAGTCATGTAGAGGAAGGCATAGGAAAAAAAAAACTTCATTCCAGGCCTATTCATATCTTGTAACGTCTGCTGTTCAGCAGGTTGTTTATTGCTTGTGTTTTAAACAAGATCTTTATCATCGCTTTTCCCTGTTGCATTAGATAAATGTACAAATAGCATCGTCTTAGGTACTTTTATATAATCATGAAAACCACTATTTCCTGTTGTTAGTCTGTAGAGTAGAGACGTGAGATAGAAGTCTTAGTAGTACTTTGCTGTGCTTTATCGTTCTTTCGTAACTCAAAATGGAATAATTGCCTGGAGTTATGCTCTTCAGAAGAAGAAAAAAGTCCCATGAAGCCAAAGTGCAGCTTTAAACGCAGCTCTGAGGCCTGAGCAAATTTTTGACTAGTCCTGCAGCATTTGTGCAGTGTTTTTACAGTATAACTATATTTCAGCTGTACGGAGTCCTGTATTTCCAGTACTTCCTGTCTGCCATACTGTCAGATAATTGCAAGAAATCCTATATCAGGTATGTGGAATTTAGCCTGCAGCAAGTGCAGTCTGCAAGCCACTGTGCAGTTTAATAACCCGTGAGCTGTGGCAGTGCACAGGCTTGGAAAGTTACTGCTGTTATTGATAGTGGATTTTGCATCCAGAAGTGTTAACACTTGTACTTTCACGTATAAATATCCCTGTATTGTGAGAGTGGCTTCATTTTAACACCCGTGAAGTCCTCCTTGTGCCCGAACCCCCAGCCGACCCACTTCGTGTCCCACTAGAGTATGAGGGATTGCTTTTTTCCTTTTGTGGATTTCAGACAGAGCAGCGTGAACAAAGCAGGTGCGAAAGGTTGCTGGAGTTTGACACGCCCTCTCCCCCTCTCTGTGCGCAGGTACCGCGGCTTCGCTCTGTTCCTGACGTTCCTCTTCTACACCAGCTACCACCTGTCCCGAAAGCCCATCAGCATCGTCAAGGTAACGAGGCCCCGCCGGACTAGCCCGCAGTTTCTTGGCCTTGTGAGAGACCAGCTCTAGGCGGGAGCAGCAGGGGCACTCCGAGAGCCATTTCTTGCGTGCCGTGTCGCCGGGCTTAACTCCCCTTCTCTCCCCTTGTCCCTCAGAGCGAGCTCCACAGGAACTGCTCCTTTGTCATCCGTCCGCCGGACTTCAACGCCTCCAACAATGAGACGTGGTGCGACTGGGCGCCGTTCGGTAAGGCTGGCCTCCAACCCGCACCTCCTAACGCGGCATGACAGGGTGATTTCAGGCTGGTGTTGTGAGTGTCGTTCACCTGGTTACTGGGGGGCTCTCTCAGCAAGGCCGGGTGTGTCCTGAGAACTGCAGGCTTCAGCGTCTCCTGTTCCTTCTCCCCAGAAGTTTCCCTGACTTGACCTGGGTTTTTACTGTTCAGAATTTAGCGTCCAGCTCTGACCTTGCATTGAACGTCAGCATCCTCACCTATTGGTCCTGCTTGTAGTTTCCCACACATTTGTGCTGCCAATGGGCCCTGCCTCACAGCTCTGGGGGCCTGGTTTTAATTCTGGACCTAGGGTGCTGTCTATGTGAAGTTGTATGTTCTCGTGTCCGTGTGGGCTTCTCTGGGTGCTCTGGTTTCCTCCCACAGTCCAGAGATATACTGGAAGGTAAACCGGCCTCTGGGAAGACTGGCCCTGGTGTGAGTGTGTGCATGTTTGTGTCTGTGTGCCCTGTGATGGACTGGCGTCCTGTGAAGCGGTCAGAAAATAGATGGATGGTTTTTTGCAGCTACCCCGTACCTCAGTATCAGTGGGCCATCCGTTGGAGTTTTTCTTGTAGCAGGTTTATTTCATTTTATTCAAGCATTTCACAGCTGTCCAAGCCCTCAGTGTTGCAGATTTTCTATAAAGATCGTCACGTGATGAGTAACCTCCCTTTCCCTTTTCCTCCCCCAGACCAGGACAACTACCAGAAGCTGTTCGGGGCTCTGGACAACTCCTTCCTGGTGGCCTACGCCATTGGGATGTTCATAAGGTATGGGGGGGAGGTGCTAAGAGAGTAGGGTGGAGAGCTCTTGCCCCCTGTGGGCTCTCAGTCCTTGCCCGGCGTGCAGCGGGTACTAGTGGTGTTGCCCCTGCGGGTGGCTGCGCTCGGCTTCACCCTGCCCATCTGTCTCCCCGGCAGCGGGATCTTCGGGGAGCGTCTGCCCCTGCGCTACTACCTCTCCTCGGGGATGCTCCTCAGCGGCTTCTTCACGGCCCTCTTCGGCCTGGGCTTCTACTGGAACATCCACAGCATCTGGTTCTACGTCTTCGCCCAGGTGAGGGTCTGGAGGCGAGGACGCCCACAGGGCTGGAGGGCCCTTGCCCCCCGCTGTCCAGCCCTGCGTCATGCACAGGCATCACGTGCTTGTGACGGCTTTGTGACGGCTGCCGCGACACAGGCTGGGTATCTGGATCGCACATCCTGCTCATTTCCATGGTGCAGGGCCCTGCCTAGAGATGCAGTGGAGAAGTATGGAAAGGCTGTGTCGGTTTGCTTGCTCTCTTTAGCGAGAGGCGACGAGGGCGCGGTACAGGTCCTCATGCCTGCTGCCTCTCCCTCCAGGTGATGAACGGGCTGGTGCAGACGACCGGCTGGCCGGCAGTGGTGACCTGTGTGGGAAACTGGTTCGGAAAGGGGAAGTAAGTAAGAAGGAGCCCAGCTGAGTCAGCATCTCTCTCTCCGTCTCCGTGTCCATAAATGCTGCACGAGCAGGAGGCTGGTTTCGCAACAGGGCCGGCCCAGGCTGTCGGGAACTCCGTGCTTCTCTTTTTCGGTCATCGGCAGTGTCGTCACCTCAGACACATTTAAGACAGCCGTGGTGATTGCAGTGATTGAAGGAACAGTACTGTAAACACAGACCTCTGGAATTATTCTAGCGCAGTGGCACTGTCTGTGTCAGTACAAGTACTTGGGCTGCGTATTTGACACAATCTAATTTTATTAAAATAGAAAATATGAAAACCCGTCTCTGAAGCCAATGAAGTAAATTACAGATTAAAAATGTAATTATTGCATTTTAAATTCCCAATTTTTCAGTACACACAACAGATTTCCAGGGTCTTCTGGCATACCACCTGGGGGCACTCCACATACCACCAGTGGTACGCGTACCACAGTTTGAGAACCACTGTTATATAGCGATAGCACAGAAATAGCACTACTGGTCTTTGGCAGGCAAAAAGAGAAGGTAGCTCACCTCACACCTGTCCCGTGCCGTTTCCTGCTCACCTATAATTTTGGAGTTAAATTGTGCATGCTGGAAAACCCTCACGGAGCTGTTCAGTGAGCTTCTTCTGATATCTGGCAGGTGGCATGGGCCCTGTCTCCCTAGGGGATAGTGAAGAAGAAACGTTCAGGGGATAAGCAGCTCTGCCTTTTACTTTGTCTGCAGGCGAGGGCTGATCATGGGCATCTGGAACTCTCACACATCCGTGGGCAACATTTTGGGGTCCTTGATTGCAGGGGTCTTTGTGTCCTCAGCCTGGGGGATGTCCTTCATCGTGCCTGGCATCATCATCGGCTTCATGGGCCTGGTCTGCTTCTTCTTCCTGGTGGAAAGTGAGTTCTCCTCAATATCCTGTCTGCATCCCGGCACCCTTAGACCGTCTGCCCTTAGGGATTTTGCTTCTAAACAAATGGAATGGAAACCTGGAATGTCTCCAGGGAACTCCTTGTTCCTGCATGAATGAGAGTTTTTGTAACCAGAAAACATTAAAAACATAAAAAAGTAAAGTTGCATAACTAGAAACTTAGGTTTGTGATGTACTGTCTGAACTTTTTTCCGGTACTATAAAACTAAACTTTTCAACCCTTTTACATCTTGTTAAATGTTGTGACCAACGTTTAGTTTAGGTCCAGTTATGACACTTTGAAATATCTGTGCGACCGGCAATGGAAATCTGTTTTATTATTTCTAATACCTGTTTGTCTTGTTCATTTCCAGAGCCCGAGGATGTGAATTGTGACCCTCCTCAGCATCATGTGAGTGTTGAGAGAGCGTCGCTCGTCTGAGGGCGTCGTCGTGTGTGACAATAAAAGGGCGATGGCAGTAGTTTTTCACTTTGATTCTCAAGAGCGCTAACTGGCCTCCAGTTGAAGTCATTCCAAGGGCGATGTCGTTTGGTTGGAAGCTGTGACGAAAACCACTTTAACTGTAAAAGTTTGACTTGTTCCTTTGAAGTACCAGACATACACTCTTTAACTTTCCTTGAGGTGCTGACCCAAAGATGGAGAACGTGCTTTTACAAAGTCCTTTGGTTTGTCTGTGTTTACCCAGGACAGCCCAGAGCAGGAGCCGCTGCTTCAGAGCTGCTGCAGCAATGAAGAGATTTTCGGGAGCCCAACACATAGCCCAGTGAACGGGCCAGTCACCCCCGAATCCACGTACGAGGAGCCAGAGGCTATCAGCTTCATGGGTGCACTCAGAATTCCAGTGAGTCGGCTCTCCCGGGACCTGCACAGTGCTGGTTTCATTCTATATGCAAAAACGGGTGAAACATTAATCATGTTATTTAGGTAGTTTGAGGGCAGCACAGTGGCGCAGTGGGTAGCATTGATGCCTTGTAGCACTGGGGTCCTGGGTTCAATTCCTGGGGTGCTGTCTGCATGGAGTTTGTATGTTCTCCCCCTGTTTGTGTGGGTTTCCTCTGGGTGCTCCAGTTCCCCACCCCCACCCCCACAGTTCAGAAGTACACTGGTAGGTTAATTCACTTCTAAGAAAATTGTACCTGGTGGGTGTGTCTGCCCTGTGATGGACTGGCGTCCCGTCCAGGATGTACCCCGCCTCGCGTCCGTTACTTGCCAGGAAAGGCTCCGGCACCCCCGGCAATCCTGAATTGGATAAAGTGGTACAAAAGTGGAAGGATGGCTAGTTAGTCTAATCTCTTGTAGAAGAGAAGGGACACCCGCTGATATGGTGGCTTTTCCTCAGAAGCAGATGAAACCAGTAACGCCACAGAATGAGACCAAGTCTCCAGCTCTTCATCTTGTCACTGTGTGCATTTTAGTGATCACCGTGGTTTGGGCAGGTTCTGTCGATTAACTTTTGATCAGTTTCTCGAGCCTGCGTGATTTGTTAAAGACTGGCTGGAAAGGTAATCTTTCGTTCTTAATAGGCGCTACACCACTGATAGCTGCAGTGTGACGTTTTCTGTTCTTGTATTTCCAGGGGGTGGTGGAGTTTTCCTTGTGTCTGCTGTTCGCCAAGCTGGTCAGCTACACTTTCCTCTACTGGCTGCCCCTCTACATTGCTAACGTTGGTAAGGACAGCTTGCAGAGTGAGATCTGACTGTTTCTTCATGATCAGCAGAAGAAAAGTTTCTTGTTTAACTGGAAGAAAACGGCAGTAGCTCACGGTACCCATCGTCTCATTCCAGCTCACTTTGAAGCCAAGGCTGCAGGAGACATGTCCACACTGTTTGACGTGGGAGGAATTCTGGGTAAGCTGTTGTGCAACGGCAGAAGTTCCTGCAAATCTGTGCTGTATCTCACCTGGTTATCCTGTATCATGCTGTATCTCTCCCAGCATGTACCCGTGTCTTGTGGGTTTGAATATTAATTAAATCTTGTAGTAATAACAATATTAATTTAGCTCTAGCCACAATCATAATTCATACTGACTGTCTTTAAAAGACAACGTTACCCTGAAAGGTGGTTTTTGTTTGATATATGCATAGTGTGAGTACGTTATATGCTAAAAAAGCTTTACTAATTTGGGTTTGGTTTAAAAAAGGCCATTTGGAAACCCTTTTTTCTGAATGGAAGAAGATTTCTCGCTGACGTCATGTTTCTCTTTCAAAAGCTTAAACGTCCCAAGCTGTCTCCAGTGGTTGTCTTAACTGTGAGCTCTGTGGGTGCCGTCCCGCCCCTCTGTGAAGACCCTAGAGGACGGGGTAGCTCGGCTCGTGCCTGCCCCCACCTCGAGGTTTCAGAGGGTCTGTTCCTGTTTCCACAGGGGGCATCTTGGCCGGCGTCGTCTCGGACTACACGGGGGGTCGGGCCACGACCTGCTGTGTCATGCTCATCGTGGCCGCGCCCATGGTGAGTCATGTTGAGAGCTGCGCTGCCGCGGCTCGCCCGCAGATAAGCTCCTGTCGAGCAGCCGAGAGGCCTGCTGACATCCTGATGGCCTTGTCCGGATATATTCCCTGTGTGTTGCTGGTCTGTTCAGGGCGCAGTGTGAAATACGCAGATGAGATGTATCTGCCTCTTCTTAAAATAGAGCTCTGGTCTTGACACAGGTATTTAGTTACCATGTTTGATTTTTCCCAGGTTTCTCTGTTGATATCTCATTCTCCTTGTCAAATTGGCCCTGTCCTTCAGGAAAGAGAACAGTCTGAGGGATTGACTTTCCTCTGCTTTTGGAACCATATGAGAGCCTTAGCTTGGAGCTGTTGTCAGTCTGTATTCTCCTAAATAGAACTGTAGATGTAGCTTGTCTATTGACAAAAAATATAAGATTTAAAAGTTCAGCACTTTGAAATTTCTGTTGCTAAGGGGTGGCAAGAATGTAAGTTTCCTTCTTTATTTCTTCCAGTTATTCCTGTACAATCATGTGGGACAGAATGGTCTGGGGACAACAATAGGTAAGAGACTAGTTCGTGTGACAAAGACTTTGCGTCCTTAAAAAAACACGGTCTTCTCATTTCTCACCTCGGATGTCTGTAACTGTGAGTTCAGGACAGGACTGCGTTGTCGCCTTCTTGTTTAGCCACAGCCAAGTGGGACTCTGTGCTAGTGAATTCGTTCGTGTTTTTTGGGTCTTTTCTTTTGGTAGCAAAAGAAAAGATTGTTCCGGCAGTTGATGGAAAGGCGGGTTTGCTCAGAGGCTAGCCAGTCTCTTGGTCTGGTTTCTACAAGCGCCACCGAGTCTGGTGCTCCGCTGTGAGAACAGCGACGCCTAGTGGTGCGCCTGAGGGCGCTGGAGGTCGTTCCTCGTACCTCCGTTCGTGTGCAGCTGCAGTGTCCCCCACCCAGAGCCGTCTTGTTTCCGTCATGCGAGGGAGACTGAGTACTGGCATGGCGATCTTTCTTGCTGTGAGCTGCGGTGCTGCAGTGGTGTCAGTATGAAAGTGTGTTCTTCTGCAGGGATGCTGATGCTGTGTGGTGGGCTGGTGAACGGCCCCTATGCCCTGATCACCACTGCCGTGTCCGCGGACCTGGTGAGTTCTGCTGATAAAGGGCACTACCTTGATGCATCACTGTTTTTTTTTTCTTGCCTGCAATATCTATAGAGATGTGCATTTTGTTGACCAGAAATATTTCTTATACAGTATCTCTCCTGAAAGGAAAAGTTCAGGTGCTCTACTTCACAAGAGAACCACCTGAGTGATTTTATAAATACGGAGGAAGAATGAAAAGATAATGTGGCATTCTCTGCAAGCAATCCAAGTTAGAAGTGATTCACCACAAAGAAAAGAAATTTTATAGAAGTGGGTTTACAAAGAGGATTACAACAGTTGACAGAGTCAAAAAATCCAGCACTCTGGCAGCCACAGATGATTAACAGTGGCTTGTGAAGGAAAAGCACACTTAAAAGTGTCCTGTCCTGACTGCATTCCTGCATTCAGCTCAGACAGCGATGGCTTCACTTAACCACTGTTAGATGCTCAGTTTCTTTCTTTACTTTCTCCTCCAGGGAACTCATGAAAGCCTGAGAGGGAACTCCAAAGCATTGTCGACGGTAACCGCTATCATCGATGGAACTGGTTCCATAGGTCAGTGGATTTTGCATTGGCACAAAGGGCTGAATATCGCAAATTTAATACCCTTCGTTCGCAGGGACACAGGCCTACAACTTGGGTTTCATTTCTGACTGTCATTGTCGCTCACTGGATTGAGGGCTGCTTGAATTGTAGGCTGTTTGCCTCAGTGTGTTCCTCTGCTTTGTGGCTTAGCTTTCAGTTTCAGAGACACTTCAGTCAGCTGTCTGAAGTGTCCCTGTGTTTCACCAGTTTCATGGAGCTGACCTGCTGGCTGTATCTGCACCCAGGTGAAACTGCTGATAAGCTAGCTGCTTACTTGAGTTCTCTGAGGCAGGTGGATTTAAGGTTGTTGTGCTTGTTGGATAAAAAGCGTTTATTTTAAAATAAAGTTGAGCATAACACAGGAAAAGGGATTTTTTATCTGCTGGAAAGTTACAAGCTTATTCTTGTTTAATTGCTTCTGAATGGGCAAGTTGCCCAGAAGTCAGAACCAGGATGTCGTTTCAAAGGGAACTGTTTGTTTGTGATCTGTTGATATATTGCAGCTCTGAACTGAAATGCAGTTCCCTTGTTTTACTGCAGGAGCTGCTCTGGGACCTCTGTTAGCAGGACTGATCTCTCCTACCGGCTGGAACAACGTGTTCTACATGTTAATTACTGCCGATATCTTGGCCTGCCTGGTAGGTTACTAGAGTGTGCTGCTCCATCTTTTCTCTGAGGGTGAGGTGTTTTAAATAATCAGGGCATTGGGAAGGGCTAAAATCGAGAACTGTTCCGTTAGGAAGTTGTTCTTGATTTGTATCGGAGCCCCACAGGTCAGCTTTCCCCTACAGAGAGGTAGTTTTGTGAAGCTGTGCTAATAGTATGTTGTGTATTCATTTCCTTTGTGATCATATTTGATATGAGAACTTGCATTGACAGGTATTTGCACCTGTTTATCCATCTGCATATTTTACTGTACCAATCTGAGTGACAGCACCTTGCTCACAGGTACAGCAGCGGTGCCACTTGAGATCTAACCCTTTCAGTGATGCATACCGAGCGCTGACCACACCTCCTCAGTGCTGCCCAGTGTTTTTGTATCGATAAGTACTAAAACATCGCTCTCTTTCCAGCTGCTCAGTAGACTCGTGTTCAAGGAGGTGAGAGGCTGGTGTGGCAGCAACGCGAGACAGAGAGGGTAAGTTTCTCCTGCCTATCTGTCTGGGGAATTTGGGGTTCAGACCTTTCATAAGATCGTTGGCAGGGTTCACACTGGCAGTGTTGCAGAGGAATGTTTTTTTTACAGACCGTATTGCTGTAGAATTTACATGGTTTCTCCACAATTCACATGCATGCAATTTGCATGTAAATGTTACTCCTTTGGCATATTCAAGTGAGGGGCCATTTGAATATTTTAAAAGTAACATCCACTGAATGCAGGCTTGTATTCCCCTTAACCTGGTTGGTTGAACAGTAACAAAAACCGTTTACTTTTTTAACTTATTGTTACTGTAACGTTTTTTAAACCTTGTTTGCAATTTTGAGATAAGCCATGAAAACGTGTTTTTCACTGAAAATCCGTACTGTACTGACAAGGGAAAACTCTGCTGCTATCTGAAACTGTACCACCAAGACTTTTACGACATCTGTAAAGCCCCTTCACATCCATTGCTGTTTTTAACCTGTCGGTCAGTCTTGGCCTCTGCAGATTAAGAAAAGTTAACATCAGTTATCCTTCTAAGGCGAATAAATAAAATGACTTCACTTTTTTGATAAAGGAAACTGAACCTATGTCATACTAGTACAGTGCCCAGAAATAGAACATTTCAGTCTGAGCAATTATCCAGGTTCTGTTTATAGAAGCTCTCTAATCAGCCTGGCGAGGGAAAGAGTTTGAACAACCTGTGCTTTACATGGAGAGAGGGGCAAAATCAGCGCCATTAGAGCCGACCAACAATGGAAACATAGGTTACCGGTTTAAAAATAGAGATGCCTCCCTTTCAGCTTGAGCTACAGACTCCACATTTCAAAATAGGAACATTTAATAGACGGGGCTCTGGATCGAGAGTGAGGCACAAGTTTCACAGAATGAGTCGCCTGTCCTCCGTCTCAGGGTGGGTAGGAACCCCCAGACTGATTTTTTTTGGAGAAACAAAAATACAAAGTAGTAGCTTTTCTCTCCCCCCCCATTTATTTCTCGTAGGTTTAAAGAAATCTGATGGCTGGATCAGTGGAGGAATAAGCTTCGCTAACTCACACGGAACAATGAAACGACAGCAAAAAAAGAACATGTGGGAAAATAAAGGGACCGGGGAGGCATCTACTGTAGCTTTGATGCCAGCCCCTTCTCTACAGGATATCCTTTGAGGTACAGAGGACAAGCAGATAAATGACCAAATAAGGGACTTTCATCACTCAGCTGGGGCGAAAAAACATCAATGGTACAAAGAGAAGACGGGATGAGATTAAAGGAGCCAAAGAAGAAACCATCAATATTGTCATCCCCCAGTTGTCAGGGACTGTCCACGTGGTGACAAAGCTTTCCTAATTAACACTTGAGTGCTCTAATGACTAATGTCTCTCTGATCTCGCCTTGTATTTCTTTTATCATTAAAATTGTACTAAAAATGTGTTTCTCTGTCTCTTGATTAATCCGCGCAGTCAGCCCTGTTTTCGGAAGGTGAAATGCATTCATTGCTTGTGTAGATAACCCACCGCTCTGCCTCTCTGGCTCTGGCTTCAGAACCTGTCCAGGAACAGGAAGCCAGGGCGCAGGACGTGTGTGGTGGTGGCACCCCGTCCAGTATTCTTGTAGAATCACTGGGGTTTGTCCCGAAAGAACTGTCCTGTTCTAATAAAAGCATAAACAGCAGTAGAAAATGAAACCCATCGGTAAATGCATACATGTGGATGTATATGTTTAGTACGCACATACTGTTATTGCATACATCTGTATGATTCTGTTTATGCTGCCTTATCTAAATATTAATGAATAACCCTTTTAGCAGGAGGATGGGAACTGCTTCTGCTGGTACAGCCTTCAGGCTGTCCGACTTGGTGTGCTTGTGCGCTTGGCTTCCCTGGTGCACCAGGGAACATGTGCCAAGGATCATGCCTCCTGCAAGGTCACTTGGCATCAGTCTTTCCTGTAGCGCGGCAGGAATCATGGGATATACCCCATAGTGGTTTAGACAGGATGGCTCAGACCCCCAGAATTTACATTTCTGCGTTGATTCTGGTAGGGCAAGGTTTGTGTGCATTATGAGGATTGTCTTGTAGATGACTATGTTCATAACATTTTGTAGTCTTGTAATTATGCCCTAGGGAGTATAACAACTGTTCTATTTATGTCCTAGGCTTTGTTTTCAATTACATGGTGCTGCTTCTGAATAAGGATGAAGGAAGTTTTTGCTGTTGTTCTCCTCTGCACTTAATTAAAGAGGCTTGTATTAAGCGCGAAGGTTTTCAATTAAACTCTCAGGACAAGCTTTCTCTTGCCCCTGCATGCTTACAGGTGCAGAGGGCTTCTGCTACATTGCCTCAGACGGTCTTGGGGGAATTTCTTTGCATAGTTGTTTTTTTTTCAGTCCCGGTCTGTAAACCACTGTCATATTATCATGGGAGTAATGTTGCAGTTGGGCAAGTACTCGGTTTGCATTCTGTGCCAATTTGCGTATCTGGATTAATGGTACATAGCAGTGTGAACTGACGAAAGTCACAGCACAATCTAAAATAATATCGGAAGCGGCAAAACTGGAAATTGGTATCAATGAGTCCTTGAAGAACTCTTGCTTACAGACAAACGTTCTTAAGCTCATCTTCCTTACAGTCTTCATCAATCATTATCGGCGAATCTCATTTTTTTTGGCGTTGTCATTGTTTTCAGATAGTTCATGGAACTACACAAAGCGTGCGAGAGCTGCACAGGTGGTCAGCTCAATGATGATCTCAACGCAGGGCCGAGGGGAAACGGAATCCAGCTCTCTCTGGTCTCCCGGTCTCAGGGATTCTCCTAACGTGTTGCTGGCGCACGTGTGTCAGAGCCAGACTGTGCGCTGCTCCCTGCATGCGTGCGGCACTTTTGTTAAAAAAATGTTTTCAAGATATCTCTGTTCCAATACAAGCCTGGAGTGGCGTCTCCGGTTACCCCAGTGAGGCTGGCTGGCTGGCTGGGGGCGGCGCGTTCTTTCAAGAGCCCCGCTGACGGCCTCTCTCTGACTGAACCATCTGTGGCCCCGAGCTCTCCGCGGGCTCTTGTCCTTCGTCGGGAGGTGACAGTAATCGGCCTGACCCGATTATCACCCATCCAGTGTCGTGTGCAGGTACCATTCTTTCAGGCCCTGCAGAAGAGCGCTTGAGAGAGGCTTCTGCGGGCGCGGAACTGTGCTTTCATGCAGCCCCCGGCACACAAAGAAAAACACAGGCGCAAATGAATTTGGTATCGATGAAAGGCCGTTATACGGTTTTATTCAACCTTTAATTGCAAATCACAGCATGCCAGAGCCCAGCGGCGTGTTGCTTGTCTGTGGGCACGTTGATATTTTTGATTTTCACTTAAAAAAAAGCGTTACTTCAGAGAACCCCTGAACTTAGAAAATGTAGCGCGGTCAGCAAATGTCAACTCCATTCCAGCAGCAGAACTGTGGGAGTTTTATTTTTTATTTGTTTCCAAGTTTAGAATACTCTTATCCTCACATGCAGTGCGAATTTGCTTATTTTTACAAAATGATTACTGTAACAAGTGTCAGAACGGTTACAAATGAGAGGTCATTTGGCCGATCTAGCGAGTTTCATCGTTAGTTGCTTTGACAACACTGTAATTTACTGGTCATGCCAATAAAGTGGTTTGAGTTTGAATTTGGTAACTAACTGTTCCATGAATTTCATGCAGCCGTTGCTTTTTCAGGTATCGGCTTTAGCGAGGTAGCTCGTTCCATACCCCCACAACCCTTTGTGTAAAGAAGTGCCTCCTGATCTTGGTTTTCAATACAGTTCCATATGGTCCACTTTGGCCATCTGTTTCATGTTTCACTGTTAATTCTGAAGAAGTCTGCTAGGTTGACTGCATCTGTGTTTTGAGTGCATGAAACAGGTCCCCTCACAAAGTTCTATATAGTCTAAAAAGGTTCAATTTTTTAGCCTGTCAAAGAAGGACATTCCTTTAAGTTCTAGAATGCATCTGGTTGGTCTTCCATGGATTAATTCTAGAGGAGCAACACATTCTGGAGAACACCTCTTTCTTCCCAAATGCTGAAATGCCATTGGCATAAATACATCAATAAGAACACCTCTGTTTACCTGATCCAAACCAGTCTCTTCACATTTTCCAAGTTGGTCTTCATTGTCAGATAGTCCCCAATTCCGTGTTCCTCGGTCGGTCCTGCTCCTGCACTGCATGGCTGGTACAAGACTTGCTTGTGGCTTCAAGACTGTTGGTCACTGTAAGAAAAGGGCAGGGATGTGTCAAAAAGAACAGAGGAGCTATGGTAGGAGCCCTTCAAAGCAGAGAAAGGCACAGCAGTCGAGCGATTCCTTTGATAAACCGATACACAGCACAGTTACGGTACTGGACTTTCATCAGGGAGCCCTTGTATAATAAAGACCCAGAAGGAGTCTCTTTCAACTCGACACATATTAGATATCCAGAGCTTCAGTGTGCCGCTGTAGTGTGCTGGGGTCCAGGATTATAACTCATTATAATGGTATTTCAGGCCAACAGTTTGTTAAGAGGATTATAGCTGTGTTGTTTTGTTGTGTCATACACAGCTGGATGAATGACTTATTAATAATAATCCTTAATTTGACGAGATCAAATATAAAGCAGCAGAGAAATCAGGGGACCACAAATTCTCATTTTCAGCAACAACCTGGCCTGCCAGCTTGCGAACAAGAAAGTCTCCAGTGCCCGTATTTTGAAGCGGTTTAATGATTTAAAATCAAATGTCATACGCATGCAGACACCTGGAACTGTTTGTGAGGTATTTCTGTAGGTGCATATTCAACCACGCTGTGCTTGGCTCACAGTAATCCAAGGATAATGAGCGAGAGGCAGGTCTCTTCCTTCACCGTGGCAACCGTGCCTTGGCAACGTCCCAACATGGCCATCACATTCAAATTCTGCCAGGCTCTCCCTTCACTCCCTCTCGCATGTGTCGCCGGGCATCAGCTGCACCTGGTGAGCCGCAGGACAAAGCCGGACAAAGACAGCAGCACAGACGCAGTAAGTAATGAAGGACAAAGTTTTTTTTTTAGGTAAAGCTACAAAAAGGCAGATCGTGTCATTTCACAATGGGCTTGTTAAGTTAATTACCCAGCAGTATCAAAAAGCAGACTCCTTGTGATCAGAAATGAATGGAAAAGCTGGCTAAAAAGTTAGCTTTGCATGTCTAAGGTCAGGATGCTTTCTTTCCACCTGCTCTGCTTCACACTGAACTTTTTTTTTTTGGTCCGTCCAGTTTTTGTATTCAGTTAATGCATTCTAAGATTTAAAACTGCTTTGTGCATGAAGCCTTCAACAGCTGGTGATCCCAGGCTCTGCCGTGCATTGTCTTTGGGAATAAGGAAGGTTTCTTAGAAAACACAGGTATGCATAACACCTCCAGTGACAGTCATTCATTGGGTTACACTAGGTTTAGGAGCAGAAACGTAGGTGAGTAATCAAATATATAAAAAATACTGTACTGAATCTACCAGGTGATAGTGTTTTAATTGTTCATTAATTGGAAAAGTTTCGTAGGTGAAATGCAACATAAATTAGGCATGCGATGCAAATTCTATTTTTATGGTGCAGTTTTGTGTCCTTATATCCATGACGTTATAAGACATAAAAGAGCTAAACTCATTATAATTTATTCTCCAGTGCTATCTTGGACACAAGCAGGAGCTAATATATATGCGTGTTATGAGCATCAGCAATTGACTAAAAATATCAGAAATCCCCTCCATATCTACATAAAGCTGAAAGTCTAATTCTTGAACTGTTATCTTTAAACAAAAACAATAGAAGTACCTGTAGAATATGACCTTTCTATATGAGAAAGGAAAACACTGAAAAGAGTCGAACAACTACAAAAAGATTACAACCTTTTCACACAAGAATATAAATAAAAAACACTAGTTTTTCATTCTGACAACAATGCAAAAGCAACAATGTATTGGCTGATTTATTAAAAGTAATAAACAGTTTGTTCTGATATTATTTTTTTTGTGTGTGTTTATTTAAAGTGAATTAATTTTAAACAAAGAGTGAAAGTATTTGCATCTTGAACTCTATGGGCTGTATGATGCCATGACTTTGGGCTCACTCCATGACTTTGTTAAGAAGGTGCATCGCTCTGATTAGAGGTGAGGGATGCTGTGCTGTCAGGTGGGACAAATCAAGTGACAAAGAATTTGCAATCTGGGCTCTCTGTTTGTTTGTCAAAGCCCATACCCTGGGTTCTTTCAGGAAACTCCCAGGGAAGGTCATCACATCACTCCACTTACAAGCAACAGTGATCCAGGTGAGACGATTTATCGATTTTCAACTTGGATTCTTACGGTCTCACCCCAATTACTCTTGTTTGTACTTTTCAAAAATTCGGCAAATACTGTGGGTGGGGGAGAGGCTAGACATTAGCAAACGAAAAGCTCAACAAGGATTACAAGGATTTTGTCTTGTTTCTCTTACTTTGCTGGAGATACCTCTCAATCTCTCCGCCTAGCTGGGAGATGTATTTTTGCTGTTTGTGGCACTCTGGAGAATTCAAGTGCTGGCATGGTAACCTGTGACCCTGTTTGAAAGCAGTTTGCTAAATCACCTCTCCAAGCCAAGCACCCAATTAACCTGCTTGTCTCCCGCACAGCGAGCACGATTCCCAGACTCTTCCAGCACTGCAGAGCTACCCAGTGTCCGCCCATCAACTGAATACATGCATATCTAGAGTTTCCTTTTCTTTATCCTCTCTCACTGCTCTTTAGAAAGACCTCCATCTCAGTCAGACAAGGGCAAGCCCAAATTCCTGACCTTTTCTCTTAGACTTTAGCAAATTGTTTGTTTGCTCTATTTGAGAAAAACGGTTTGCATTGAATCATGCCCTTTAAAATTTGGAGTAAAGAGCCACTTGCAGTGCTCTGACAGAGGTAGACACTGTCGTTCCTGTTCTCCGAAGTTTTTCCGAGATCTGCGGACCTGGGTCAGGCCGTGCGTCTGAGATCCTGATTCGAAAAACCTCCCCCGGTGATCGCTTCTGTGTGGGCAGAGGAGGCTCAGGACATTCCCCAGGCTGGAACAGGAAACAGAGGAGATGGGATCTGGATCTTCCTCCTACGCACCCAAAACCGTCTATCTGGATGTAGACGGTAAAATCCAGAAGGTAATGTAGTTCAAGTAGGGAGCTGCAGCAGTAAAGGGACAAGTTAAGGTTTATTCCATGCTGAAAAGAGAAGAAAAGAAACACAATGTTTCGTCTGTGGAGCCTTCTTCGGCACATCAACCCGGAGAACTCCCTTCTTGTCCATTCCCTTCAGGAGTCACCAGAAGAAGGCTCCACAGCCGGTTTCTTTTCTTCTCTTTTTCAGCATGGAATAAACCTTTACATGTTCCTTTCCAGAAGGTAATTGCCATTAACCAGCTCTCCTGTGGACGTTGTAAGAATTTGTTTTTCCTGTGGTTGGTGCTGCACACTTTAAACTTATGCTGCCGCTGTCTTTGCCAAATCCACGGATACTATGCAGCCATTTTAAAAAGCGAGCGTCGTGCATGACACATGGAGCCATCAGCGTGGTGTCTAAGCAAAGCAGTGCAGATCCTTTTGAAGCCAAAAGGGAGGTATTTTTCAGAACACTTTATTTTACACTGGAGGTCCTGTGCTAAGAAGTACCGTACAGGTTATGGCAAACTTTAAATTATGAATGCACAAAAGCTGGAACTATCAGAATAACGGACAGGGCGCAATCTCTCGAGAAATGAAGTTTGCATTGTGGCCGAGAATCATTGTGTCCCCCGATTAGAACATAAGTGCAGGCAGCTGTGTGGAGGAACTTGACAATGGGATTAAAGATGTTCTCTGCAGGCCAGTGGAAGGAGGGTAGCAATACAGGAGAGTGCACTGCGTCTGCTCACTTTTGTGGAAGTGCCTTGTTCAATTACTGTGTCTGTGGGCACTGAGACTCCTAGCTGATGCGCAGCAGCTTCACTGAGATGCAGAACACAGAGAATCTTGCAGAGACTACAGACAGCTGGCTTCTCTTTAAAAACGATTAAATATTTTGTTCATTTAACATTTCTGTTCTCCCTGGCAGTTTCTGCCCCTGAAAAGCTCAGTTATTTCCAAAATGCCCGCTGCAGTACCACAGTATGAATATCTTGTTTCAATTTTTTTTGTGTGTAAATATCATATTCCCTCATCACTCTTTTTTTTCCTGCTGCTCACATGCGACTGTTTCTTACTAAAGCATTTGCTTCAGAAGAAATGTGTCTACAAAAGGTATTCAAATACACAGCAAGTCTGTTACTGCAGGTATGTCTGTGAACTAAGAGCACAACGTTTCCTTGAAAGTTAGCAAGATCTGAGATTTTTATCATCACACTCTGCTCATAGCTGTGTAAAGACATTAGACTAAGGTATAGTGCAGTAAATGTAATGCTAATTTTAAGGAAAGCATTCTTTTAAAGACATGCTTCACTTTTTTTCGTTTTAGGTTGTTCTCCTTTCCTTTCCTCACTTTATAAGTTCTATTTCTTATTTCACCTGCTGTGGGAAACTGATGGAAGTTGCACATTGCATGACAATTGTAGTATCAGTGCTTTAAAAATAAACCAGGGGGTGCATGAGTCACAGGTGCTGCTGACATGAGTTGGGGTCTGTGACACCTGCTGCTAGCATGTGCATGTTTGTCTTAGCTGAGCCCATTGTTTGTCTCAAGCTTCCTTCTCCCATAGGTGTATTCAAGCATCTGTGTACTTCTTCAGACTCTGCTGTCTTTGACCAGAGAATTGAATGTTTATTTCCATGAAACAAATTGCACAAACCTGCCTTCCGTGAACGGTTACCGTTAGAAGCGTCATAGACCTAGAAAAAACAAGCTTGTTGGTTGCTAAATTAAAATGACCCGGCTTCAAAGGAACTTCTAACAGCCCGACAGTTTAATTTGGATCTGCCAGTGAATGGTTATCAAGTTCAGGACAAAAGCATCAATTTCCATGCAAGGTGCTTTTTCACACATTCGGCATTCCATCCAATGGGGAATGAATTAGAAATCAATTGGCGCTGTTTGGCAGCCAGGTGTTTCTGTTCGATTGATATGGATATGGTAGAGTTTATGACTAATTCATTTTGTCGTTCTGCGCCTACTGATGTTATTGATGTTGTTTGCTTCAGTAAAATAACAGCGCTAGACGGGACTCTATTCCTCATCTAGTGTTAGTGCTGGGATGTCCAACAGTGGTCCTGGAAAGTCTCTTGCAGGTCATCTTTTTTAAAGATTGGCAACACTTGTGTGCAAGGTATCTGTTCAATCAAGGGAACTCTAGTCCTCGTGAACATGCTTAGATTTTGGTCCCAGATGAATTCCACATTACATAATATACCCACTGGAGTATTCACAATGAGATCATGAGAAACCGATGATGTAGCAATTAACCTTTAACCCCTGGTGGACTAGGGCTCTCTAGGAGCAGAGCTGAGAACCCTAAAACTGGACTAGAGGTACGAGACCTTCCCTCTTATTTCTGCAGAGCTGAGCAAAGCCTTTAATCATTGGTTTGCTGGAAGTTCTACCTCTGATCACCAGCAAGGAGGAAGAATCTTGCAGCCTTGGAGAGAGTGCGGGCTTATGTGTAGTACTGTCACAGCTGTGGTTTAACCCTTCACACTCACTCCAGCTGTTAGTTCTGTCTCATGTTGTCACAGTGACTCGCTCAAGCTATGATGTTGTAAGTGTGTGGTGCACCTCTGTAGATCACATTGTGGTGTGGTGTGCTGTGCCTTTTCAGCTATGGACTTTTTTCAGTGGTGTATTGCTGTTTTAGTGCAGGTTTGAGATCAACCCTACCACACTATCTAATATCCTTTCAGCCACTTCAATATCAAGGGCACGAGGGTCTTGGGCATGTCTCAGCAGCAGGCAGATTAATGCTTCTCTGTTCTGTCTGTTCAGGTTGTTTTCAGTCGGCACTGCAGCCCCTGTGACATCAAGGAGCTGCTCTGTTCCTCTTCCAATATCCCCAGGTCAGTGTCATTTCTCTGACCGAGCGCAGGTATGGACTTGTGAGGCAAAAAAGTAGACTGCTGAGTGCTTTAGCACTAGTCTTCACGGAAAATTTGTGGAACTTTTAAAAAATCTCCACATGAGGGAGTCTACATCCTTCATGGAAGGCTCAAATATGGTGTCTCTGGAAGACAACCATAGAGGCAACATTGTGCATGTACAGATAATAATGACACTTACTTTGGAATAGAATCTAGCTGATAGATGGGTGAAAGGGCCCTTTTATAACATTCCTCCATGAACATTTGTCACATTATTCATTTAGTGTCTCAGTAGCAACTATGGTTTTGAAGTCTGTATGATCTGAGCCTGACCTCACAGGTACTGTAGGTTCAAAGTTGTGAGTATGGAGTAAACACAAGGACTGTGCAGCAATTGTGAAAGATCACAGATCGATTTTGATCTGGCTCATGGAAAATGGCCTCTTGGTTCAGCAGACTGGCAATTGGATGGATACCTGCACTGAACTGGGCTGTTTCTCTTCACAGGAACACAGCGATCATGCTGGTGGACCAGGAAGGAGCCATTGTCTCCATCGACCCCACGATGCCCACTAACTCTCAGAGGTATGGGGTCGCTAGTTTGTCACGAAACACGGTTCTCAGATTTTTCTAAAAATGAGCTGGTAACAGCCTTTTTTCTTTGTGCAGCATTTTTCTTCTGTAAAATTTAATAGAAATAAACAGTACAGGAACCTCTGCAGCAAACAGCTGTGAATACATCTGACCAACTGCATGCATCAGATTTATATCAAAGTGGATGTGGCACTGACTGTTTTACATTTTAACACATTTGCTCAAGAGAAAAGTGTAATTTCATTTACTTACATTTACAAGAAGTTACAAGCATTTTTGAATGTGTCACTCTTCAGAATTAAAATTGGTGTCTCCTTAAGGGAATGATATTTACATCCTAGAAACAGAGAAATATCTTTTTTTTTTCTTCCAAGAATCTGGAAATCCAGAAAATGGGATTTAGCCTTTGTTATACAATATTGACAAAAACATCTGCTGCGGGCAAAGTTTCTATCCTGATTGTTAGTAATTGTACTGATTCTGGGATTTCATTTGTCTTTTTCCAGCTCTCTGTACAAAGTTGTTCCTTTATCTGGTGGTCAGCTGGGAGGTAATTCTTTACCAATGCTTGTTCTCCTCAGGTACACGTGTAGGAAGAATCTCACACATGCTCTTTAAAATTTAAAATGAGTCCCGTGAAGAGTTTTTAACAAAATAAAGTTTTGATTAAAAAAATAAACACTACATATGCATGTTTACAATGAATTCACAGAACTTTCTGTTGGAACTTTTTTGGAATGTAATTCTGGGTTCTTACCATTGGTTTCGCAGAGAAGGAGGACATGTTTCAGAACGTACTGTCTCAGGTGGCCGAGCAGTTCAGCAGGTAATTCGTTCTTCTGTTGGGAGCTTCAAGGCAGAAATCGGCAACGTATGAGGGGATAAAATTTTACCCTTCTCATCCCCTGCCCCCCTCCCACAGCTGGGTCTCTCCTGCAAAATGCCGATGGCCTCAGTGCAGTTTCCTGCTTAATTAAAGGCTAAATCCTTGTCAGTCAAACACTGGAACTTACAACCTACTACTCTGCAAGGTATTATCACCACCAATCCCAGTCGTGTGATTCATTGTTAATTGCCTCAGTTACTGTAGGTAAAGCAGGGTCTGGTTTTACTGAAGAGCTGGGGTGGACGTGCTGACTGGAGTGGAGCAGTCTTGGGCTCTGTAAATCTGAGGCTTCTGTGATCTGTGTCACTGAGTGTAGTCCACTTGAGTTACTTAATTGGCCCAAAGTGGTGAAGGCTAATTTCAAAGTATCAGCTAAAGCCTTGACTTGGAGATAAATGTGAGATGTAGAAGCATGTAACCAGTGAATAAGGTATTTATCCTGATGACTCTGAAATCCCCTCATACACATCAGTCAATCAATCAATCAAAGTTTATTTATCAAATGCACAACAATACAGCTTGCAGCAGTAGTTGCTGGGAATTAAATGTCTTTTCTGCGAGCTCACCAGGGGGAAATAAAAATAAAAGCCACAAAATTAAAAGTTACAGAGTAAGGTTACGTAATAATAGTGCAATAAAAATTGAATGACAAAAACTCAATATAAATAGAATTGCTGCATATTCAGGGTGTATGGAATACATTATGTCCAAACAGTGCAATATGCAGTGTGCCAAATACAATGGAAAACTGTATGTCCATATAACGTGCCCATTTAACAAAGATCATTAGGGTGGTTGCTGAATGTGACTGCAGCTTGGCTGTTTAGCAGTCTTATTGCCTGGAGGTAGAAGCTGTTCAGTAATCTGTTGATCTTTGACTGAATGCTTTGATACCGTTTACCGGATGGTAGGAGAGAAAACAGTTTATGACTGGGATGACTGGGGTCCTTGCTGAGTAGATATCTTGGATGTTTGGTAGCTCACAGCCTTATTGAGCTGTGCTGACTTCACCACTCTCTGCAGTACTTTGGGATCCAGGGCGGAGCAGCTCCCATACCAGACAGAGATGCAGCCAGTCAGGATACCTTCAATAGCGCACCTGTAGAAGTTGGTTTGGATATGTGACAGCATGACAAACTTCTTTAGCCTGCGGAGATAGAATAGACACTGCCGTGCTGTTTTGACCACAATGTTGACGTGGTGAGACCAGGTTAAGTCCTCTGTGCTAACTCCAGGGAACTTAAAACTGCTGACCCTCTCCACTGCAGTCCTGTTGATGCAGAAAGGTGTGTGACCTCCTTCCTGATGTTTCCTATAATCCACAATCATCTCCTTAGTCTTACTGATGCTCAGAGAGAGGTTGTTCTCCTGGCACCATGCTGCTAGGGTTTCAACCTTCTCCCTGTACGCAGACTCCTCACCATCTGTGATCAGGCCTGTTATATCGTCTGCAGACTTAAGATGGAGTTTGAGTTATGTCTGGCAACACATGAGTAAATAAGGAGTAGAGGAGAGGGCTAACTACACAGCCTCGGGGGGGCTCCAGTGTTTGGAGTCAGCATAGAGGATATGTTGGTGCCCAGCCTCACCACTTGTGGACTACACATTCCCTGTGTCATAGTTCATATTGGTACTTTTCAGGCACAGGGCTGCTTTTCCTCTCTTTCTGTTTCAGAATCTGCACCCAACTCCTTTTTGAACCCAATTCCAGCACAATTAAAGCGTTTCTCATTTCTCTGGTTAATCTAAATCCAGCCTTACAAGTAAAACAAAACAGAATTGAAATTAATACTAACACAGGGGCTGCTGGCATTGTGGATGCTTCCTAGATAAGGCTGGGTCTGTCTTGCAGGGCTTTTCGGATCAACGAGCTGAAGACAGAGGTGACTAACAGGTTGGCGATGCTGGAGAAGAGAGTGGAGTGTGAGTTTTTCTTCATTGCATAGCAGCAAAAGATTCAGCGCCGTCGGTGTACGACTGAATTGTTAACGTGTGATGTTAAGATTTCCAGCTGCAGTTAAATCCTCAGTGCATTATACTGCAAATTATCTTTGCCACAGATTCTTGTGTACTGTATTGTATTACGGATTTCCCACACTGTCTGTGTTTTTCCCCAGTTTCTGAGTGATTTACTAGACTTACTCTAATTTTGCTGTGGTGACATCAGTGAGTGTGCTTGGCAATTAACGCACAGTAAGACTCGGGTGGACGTGGGGCAGTGAGACCAAGTGGTCAAGGTGGCGGACTCAGCATCGTGCGCCAATGCTTGTGTTTCAGTGGAGGGGCTGAAGGTGGTGGAGATCGAGAAGTGTAAGAACGACCTGAAGAAGCTGCGGGACGAGATGACGTCCAGGGGCGGGGGCAGGTGAGACCGCAGTAACCCTGGGATAGTAAGAGTGTAAGGAAGGCCATAGGCCATTCCCCGGCCACCCAGGGACCTTCTCCAGCCACTTCCTGAAAGAAAGCTGATCCAACCAGACATGCATCTATGGACTCTTGTTTGAACTCTGTCCACTGCAGTGATTTTCTTCTTGTAGCACAGGGATCACACCTGTTTGCGATATCCTTCTTGAAGCCTGACAGGCAGGTAGTCTGCAGTAGGGACTCGACATCCGCAAATTTGCTTACTGATGAACGGGTCTGAGATGAAAGAAGAGCAGTGTGGGTTGAAACCTAGCCGGAGGTGGGCCACCCCAGATTTCCCTTTAGCTGCACAGCAGATTAGGATCCTGAGACAAACCTGGCTAGAAAATGAGCATCTGCCCGCCATCGGCCCAAGTTCAGCTGGTCAAGCTGGTCTTGTTTTTATATTATAATGAACACTCCAGGTTCTGTGTTGGCAGAATGACAGGCTGGAGACACCTTTACAGGCTCCCTGTCAGTATTTTTGCTCTTTTAAATACAGTGGGACGTGTTAATAATAGAGGCAGAGTGAAAGTGCAAGCTGGATGCAGAGGAAAAATTTGTGTTGTTTTTATTAACTGATTGCTATACGTCTGTGATTATTGCTATTTCTTTTGGTTGATCAATGTTATTGTAATTAACATAAAGCCAATTAAGCATTAGTACTTAAATATTCACATAAGGGAGGGTAACTCATGTTTTTTAGCCATACGTACTATATACTGTAGTACATTGAGATGATATAGAGATGGATTGGACATATAAGAATTTGGCTATTCGCAACAGATCTCTGCAGCAAGCCCTTCCGAATGTTGAGACCCTGTTGGATTTTTAGAGTAGCTTCCATTGATTTTACTTCCATGCTTTTTGGAAAAAGCTTTCTGTTGGCTTTTTCCAACACTTTGTTACATTTGCCTGGGGAGGGGGAGGGGCTGCCAGGGTTCAAATATGACAAGGATCTCCTTGAACAGACGGGTCCCTCTCAGCAAAACCACTCACCTGGGATTCCTGCTGTTACCCCAGGACTTCCTTCTTCTGCAGGGAGCCTACAGCTGCCGTGAAGGTTGCCAAAGTTGTTAGGCACATTAGCAAATACTATAACCTATAGAGAGAAGCACATTTTCTACAACTGATTAGAAGAAACACTTCTTAAAACAAAGCGTGGTGGGAGTATGGACCAAACTGTCCATCCCTGTCGTTAAAAGCTGATACCTTCTCTTCTTTTAACAAGTGAATGAGATCCTTAGCTCACTGACTGTAGCTACTCAGACTAAACGAGGCATTAATGGACTCCTCACTCATGTAAAGATCATGGTCCATGTCGCAGGCATTTCTCAAATCTCTTCATGGTTCTCAGGATCATAGTGTGCTTATTCCAAAAGGACATGATTGACAACATGGATAGTTACTGCAGGAAGCAGGTGCTGTGCTTGGAGTCTTAGCATGGTTACACGCCGTTTAACTCATCGATCCCACAACTTCTCCAAGATGCTCCTAAAGGATTCCAATGAATCAGGTTTCAGAACATCGACAGAGCATTTCTGACACATATCTTTCGCTGTATGGCCGACAGAATGCCCCCTCCCCTCTCCCCATTTCCTATGCTAATATACCTTTCATCTGGTTGTACTTATTGTAGAAAAAAAAGCTTGAGATGAAATTTTGTTGCATCATCCAAACAATTGCATGTACTGTAACTATGGTTTCTTTTGCTTCAGAGTAAACTGCCCTTGCAAATACAACTTTTCCGACGATGGCAAGAAAATGACCCCCAGAAGAGATGTCCCCAGTTACCCCAAGGTAACATGAACTTGGGGTGTTTCTTGTGTGCCTGCTTTGTCTTGTACATAGAAAAATATAATGTATATAATGTGTGTGACTAACTGTGAATCACTGATCTGTGAGGGAAATGTTTGTGACATTCGTTTTCTTTTGGAATTGGGCAGAAATAAATCAATACTTTGGCTCACCCTGTCCAACATGGTATTTGATTAGACTGGGGGGGTTAAGTGGCCACTGACAAGAAAAATTGTTGCAGGGGTTCGGATGTCTTGTAGACTCCTGGTCTACAAGGGCATTTCAAAGTTTGAAACAGTTACTGTCGTGAGAAGTTTAGACTCCTTCTCTAAACCAAAGGAATGATCCACTACAGCCAGTGCTGAGCGTGCAGGAGCTCAGCTCCAGTAGCTCTCCGTATGAGACTATCCATTACCTCTGACCACGGTGCCTGCACCTAATAGTGACCTGAAGAACTCAACAGGCGCGTTTACAATTTCAAAACACGGCCCCCTGTTTCCTCTCCTTGACTCCAAGGTTACATTTCCACACAAAAAAAAGATCTGATCAGTTGCTCACAGTGTACCTTGAAAGTAGACTTGAAGAGTAAAACAAAGAGGACGCAGGATCTTGTGTTTGGCCAGTGTAGACTGTCAGGAGCTGAGTGGGATTAACAGGGGATGGATTTTGCATCCAAGTGTTGCAAGTGCTCAGACATTCTGAGCTCAGACTTCCTCAGAGATGAGGAGAAACAAGTTTGAGAAAGCAGTACCTTACACTCCTAAAACCCGGCTAGCAGTGGAAGAGCCTGTACCATGAACAAAGAAGAAGGTCTTGTTGACTCTTACAATTCTTCCTTTCAAAGTAGAATCACAAAAAAAACAGGTGGTCCTTTACTCTCGGAACTTGGTGCTAATTCTAGGTTCTAGGTTTTAATTTAAACTCTCTTTCATCTCTGTAAATTCAGCTTTAATTGTGATGAACACCATTCTGCTTGAAGACCTCCTTTCCTCTTTATTCCGACAGTACACTTTATCCCAGGAAACCATCGAAGCGCTGAAGAAGCCAACATTTGACGTGTGGCACTGGGAGCACAATGAGGTGAGAATCCAGATTTCTGATCTTTCTACGATTTTGTCACTTGTGTCTTTAGTTGAACCCATTCATGAGTGGGCAGGAGGGCTCATTTACCTAAAGTATTGTCCCATCCATCAATTCCCTAACCACTTAATCCAATTCAGGGCTGCTGGCAAGCTGAACCATATCCCCAGAAGGGATGGGTACCAGTCAGGATACATTATAGTGGAGACGCCAGTCCATCACAGGTCACACACACTCACACCTGTTCACCTGGGCCTGTTCACTAACCAGTGTGTCTTTGGACTGTGAGATGAAACCAGAACACATGGAGGACACTCACTTGAAACACAGACAGAACATAAAAACTCCACACAGATAGCACCCCAGGTCCAGAGTTGAGCCCACAGCCCAGAGTGCTAGAATGCAACAATGCTAACCACTGTGCCACCATGCTGCACTTAAAGCAGTGACCCCTTTTTTAAAAAAGTTCCCTGCACCTGTTTCAAATAAATTCCCTTGAGAAAGACGGGCTTTGTCCTTGCCCTTATATTGTATGAGACCCTAATAGCACACCCCAACTCCCCTCTTTGTAATTTCCATGAGTGGTTAAAAAAACACAGAGATCCTCCTGTCGCTAATAGGGGTGTCATGTATTGTAGTGTTAGAGTTATGCTCTCCATTTTTGTTTTCAGAAGAGGAGGAGAAAAGGGGAGCTTTCTCTATGTATCTGGCACGTTTTGTGCCTTCTCTTTTGCTAGTGAAGTTTGGCTAAGATAGGACATTTGTTTCTTTTTTCCCTTTTGACATTATGGCACGGCGCTCCCCACTGGCTTGGACCCTGCGGCTCAGATGCTGAGCTGTCTGGAGTACATGTATCACGACCTGGGCCTGGTGAAGGAGTTCAACATGAACCCCATCACGCTCAAACGCTGGCTGGTAAGGAGCTGAGAGGCGATTTCAGAATTTGCG